AATATTACATTTTTCATTGAAGCAAGGATGCCATCCAAATTATGGTTTTATAGTATTTTATTGTCTTTATGGATACTTTTTATCTTAGGGACAAAGTATATATGTAGGTATGTAACAAAAATATAACGTGGGAATAAAATGAATGAAAATGGGCACCATCAAGCATTATATAGTTTTGGGGCCTTTCATTATGTACTGGTGAAATCGCTTAATTTTACCTTTTCTTACTCTCCTGTTCTTACTTCATTATTTCCGTAATAGTGCACCATTAAAGAAATGTCTCCCCATTAGGATATGTGGTGCTAAAACACATATTCGTAATCGATAATTAAAATCCATCCAACATTCAGCACTGGGCGCGCGTAAGGGTCCCAATGTGGATTGGTGGTGCTTAAGCACATATATTCTTAATCGATAATTCTAATCCATCCAACATTCCGCACTAGGTCCGCCTCAAAGTCCAAATGCGGATTCGTACAGCATACACAGGTATTCTTAATGGACGACCAATCTACCAAGTAATCCGTACTGGGCATGCGCGGTCGTCCTAAATCGCTCCACTAAAAACATTTGACCACCCATCCGATTAAAGGCTTTTGCGATCGTCACTTATCGTGTTTCTTATGCAGTCGTGTTAAAATGTTTGGAATAAATATCGATAACGAATTACACACAAATACCAAAAAAATATACAAAAATTAGGAAAAAGTATCGAAATAGCTCAGTCGTAGTTTCAACACAGGACCCGTGACCTTGAACAAGTTGTCGAGAACTCCAGACGGTTCAAAATATTTTATCTCACAGAGTGAAAATTTGTAATAGGGCTCTTAATGCCATACAATAAATTATAAAAATAATGTTTTTTTTATCATATTATTGCATTACAGAAAGTGGAAAAGAGTTGGCTCAAGATAATTCAAACCCTTTAATTTCGTTGACTATATAATCCTACTTTGATAACGCATAATGGTGACATTTGTAATTCAAATGTGCCCAGTTTTCCGAATGGTCCCGAACGTACTTTTCCAATTCACTATTGCAACTAATTAAAACTTTAGTTAAATCCGAGCTTCCCATTATACTTTCAGAAATGGAGACGGGTTAACCTAGAATTGTTAGAATCGAGATCCATTTGAGAACAATTACACTTAGATTAAAATTATGTTAAAAAAGAGAGCGAGTATTAAAATAAAATAAAAAGTTACATTTCATTCTTATAACTCTAGTTTACCAATACTTCAAATATTCAGAATGGGCAGAAATGTCTATTGTCAACAATTTATACTTTTTAAGATGATACAATATTTAATATCTCAATTTATTCAAAACTAAATGCGAGTCTTCGAAAAATTATGAATTAATCACGATATTCAATGATAAATTATTATTTTTAGCTACTATGAAAAATGCAACTTGTGAAATGTTGTCGTTGGATAACTGTTGTAATGAAATAAGTTTCCATTTAAACTTTTAATTTAATCTAGAAAACGGGCTTAATAAAATTTAATTATAAGACGGTGTAAATGATTACAAACTTTTAACAGACGTGGTTGAAAACAGCAAGACTTAAATGGTTTCCCCTTTGTCGAGGCAATCTCGTGATGTGCTTATTTTAGTACGTTTGATGTTCTCGGAATGAATTTAGTAGCTTCAATGTACTTGTTACTTTAATGAATTAAATTTAGCTTTTGTTCATCAGAAGCGGCATTATGACGACAGTAACTTTCGCGATTACGTAACATTTAGGTCTATTGAAGTTATAATAAGTGGATTACTACTACTACTACTATTCTACGATTGGAAGTGCCTTTTGTTGTATGTTTGTATATTATTCAATCACTATGGAACATTCGAATAGATTTCGTTCAACTTACACACAAAGAAAAGTTATCCAAATTAAATTGTAGCTTAAGTGAGGAAATCTATATCTATCATTTTATCCGTATTAACTTAGAGACTTTACCTAATTGTGCTGACACTTTGTATAAAAATGTATTCGTTAATAAACACCTAAAGTGTTTTATTTGGTAAAAACGAGGAATAGTTTCTGCAAGAAATAAAGCGGAAGACCTGCAGGAACGTGAATACACTAAGTTGGACTTGCACACGAAGGGTTCTGTACCATCTTATGTATATATAAAAGAAAGTCGTGTTCTATTTATAACTCAAGAAGGCCGGACTGAATTATTTTTTAAGCTCCTTAAATATGTGTTTTATTTTGACTTGATATATTTTTAAAGTTAATGTATAAGAAAATATTCTGTGATTATTTCAAGCGTCTACCTGTTGATATAATCAATGTCCATCAAAAACAAGCAAAAAAAATACGTTTGTTGTATAAGATTTTTTAGTATTTGTTATTAAATCGGCAACAGAAATAGATCATCTGTGCATTTCAACTATATAACTATCATAGTTCAGAGATACAGGCTGGTAACAGACGGAAGGAAGGACGGACAGCGAAGTCTTAGTAATAGGACCCGTTATACTCTTTGGGTACGGATCCTAAAGAAAGTATATTTTTTTGAAAAAAAATAATGCCTTAAAAGGCGAACACATTGGTCTAATTTCGACTGTGTGTCGACATTCGTACACTATGTTCGATAACGTCATTCGAACTACATCCATGGAGCTACATAATACTTTTTTTTTATTGCCCAAAAATATACAATTTTTTTTTTTGCATGCAAAAGTACATCATAAGCCCACAAAAGCCCTTTCGGGTTTATCAGTGGCCGTGGAGTTCAAATACAACGTTCCAAAAATAATTACAATAATTCATCAAGGTATATTATGTAGTTACATAACGTTATTTTTATTATTTAACAATGGCAATTGACATAAGGTATATCAAGCAAGTTAATCTTACTTAACAATAGATGAGAACATAATTTTATATAATGTTATCATTCTTACTTTTATCAAGAAAGTATTTTTTCAGATATTTTTTATAATTACGCTCATTCACATAATAAGATACAGATTCATCAGTCATTGCATTCAATATCGCCGGTAACAAATATTTCCAATTTCTTTTTCCATAATAGTTATTAAATTTAGGTAACACATATTTCTTTCATTTTTGTAACTTTCTCAATGTCTTTGGTCGAGTATAGGCAATCAATTCATTGCTATTGTGATGTTCATCAATCAATATGGCGAGCCTCACACTATTATATATTGGCAAGACCCCACAATATTTAAATAAATCTAAATCATTTAAAAAGTTTGTATTTATTTTTTTCGGAACTATTAACTTTAGTAATTTTAACTGTAGGTTATAGATATTAATCAAGTGTGTTTTGAACGTTCTTCCATAACTACTTAACCCATATCCGATCACACTGTTAGCCAAGGCCATATATAAAGTTCTCAAGGTCATGTAAGGTATTTTGTATCGTAGAATAGATAGTTTAGATGTTATAGCCCTTAATTTCTCACATTAAAGTCACCTTAAATTCTTTCATATGTCAACATGCACACACCGGCCGCACGTCACTGAAGTGATTATAATAAAAACTACTATGACATCATCAAAATAATTCCGACGTTAACACTGACACTGAAAAATCCGACTTCAGTGGACGTATCACATAGAAAAATGCGTACAATGCGTTGTGTATCGTGCGGCCGGTGCGTGTGTGCTCAAGCCAATGGACGAGCACCTTAACTAAGACATAATGTCAGGTCACTAAATACTTGTGGACGCGATGATATTAAATAAAAAAGTATCTGTATTATGACAAAAATAGTCTCCAGCATATTCACACGCACATGCTACGATACTCTATAATTATTTATAGACTGTAATTAGGCATGTCACAGACGAGACGTATAATGATGCATGTTTAATGTCTACTTTTATCTAAACGAGTTAAAGACTTAGATAAAAACAATTCAACTTAAAAATGTTGATGTCTAACATTATTATATCTCCTCGTCTTCGTACTCGTCATATACACCATATATATTATTTGCCTGTGTGATAAAATAAACATGACATTGAAATATAATATGTATAAGAACACGAAGGTTTCGATCGTAATCAGAAACGGAGATTTTTTTAGCTCAGGAGTTAGGTTTCGATGTTCCGAATTTAAAGTTTTGGAGTTTCAGTCTCATATAGGTAGATTTTAAAACAATTATAAGAGAATAGACAATGAAATGGAATTTTTCGTTTTGTTACTTACATAATCTTTGACAAATCTCTTTCATAATTTGTAACCGGAGTATTTACTTTTTCTTTTTATGACACAATATTTATTTTTCTGATTAAAACGCAAATCAATTAAAATGTAGACTGACGAAAATATCAGAAAACTTTTTGTATTGTTTTTTTTTACTACTTAAAGTGGAGAGCCTCCGTATTATCCTTTAAAATGTTCTCTAAACTGGGATTATCACCAAACTTCGGAAGTTAAGAATGCACGTGACTCCGTAGTTCTCAAAGAGACAAGTTTTCAAGAAAAAGACAAAAGGGAAGATGAATGGAAACGCTTGTCTCTGGATTAGGACTTTGTTTATCGTATTCAGTTTATGATTGTGGGGGTTAATCAACTTTTATAAAAGTCGAGTTTTCAAAAAAATATGTTAAGGTCTCAGCCTCAGCTGTATCCGAGAGTATGTTAACATCAAACTAAACTAGTAACCAACAAACAAACAAAAAATGAAGCTCAAAAAATATTTGTAGAAATTATTTCTTTCGGGTTTTTAAATAGATTTATCCAACTATATATGGATAAAAGTACACTTGAAATTATACTTAATAAATACTTGGAAATTCTCGAAAAATCTGTTCTTAGTGGTCCCCTGGGCTGCTTCCGCATATCTGAGAGTTTTGTGGGTATGCCTCTGCAATTATATCCTATTCCTCTTTCTGAGAAAAACAGACTATTATTGGAGACCTCGTTGACCTCACTGATCCATGTTTTTCAATAAAAAAGTGTCCGGTAGGTTAGTTGAAAGAGCACGCGTCTGGATAATTAAAAAGGATTTGTTTTGTATACTACATTTAAATTAACATTGAATTTTATTCAGCCACACATTTATTGAGAAGATTTAATGTTAATATTTGTAGGTAATAATGTTGAATGTATTTAATAGTTATTTGTTCTCAAAGACAGGAAATTAAAACGGGAAGTTTTCAAAGACTCTAAAAGGTAATCCATAATATTTACAAAACTTTAAATAATATTTGTGCTAGCAATATTTTTCCCTCAAAACTCTTCTCAATAGTTTTCCTGATGGATTTTTTGGTAAACTATCCATGAATACGATTTCCTTAAGTCTTTTATATTCTGTGACCCTTTCAGCTACAAAATTCGCTATATCGTTCTTTTCTGATCTGTATCCCTCTTTTAATACAACAAAAGCCTTTGGTCGTTCGCCAGTACTCTGGTCTGGAACTCCAATTACACCAGCATCAAGAACAGCTGGATGTTCTTTGATAACACTTTCCAATTCTGCTGGAGCAACTTGATATCCTTTAACCTGGAAGACGAATCAAGAGATAAATTGTAACTTAGTATGTATATAGTCAGTTCTTTTTTAGATTTCGCTCACTGATTTTAGTAAGTTCGATTTAAAGCTATGCTTCTAATACAAAAAAAAATAGAAGACTGTACAAACTTATTATGAAAAAAAAAAAAAAGTTTTACAAATACTAAATTAATTAGATATCATTATATTCTTGAATATCAAAAATATGAAAACTATATTTTTGAATATCAAAAATATCGTTTTCATTTAAAATTACTCCAAAATTAAAGATATTAATTTAATATCTAAGATTACCTTTATTAATTCTTTTAATCTATCTGCAATAGTTAACGATCCATCATTATCAAGTGATGCTAGATCACCAGATTTAAACCAACCATCTTCTGTAATACAATTTTTAGTAGCTTCAGGATTGTCTTTATAACCTCGCATTACTTGTGGTCCTCTAATCAGAAGTTCTCCTACCTGTATCAAAAATTATATTGAAAAAGATACGTTATTTTTGTGACAGAACAAACTTACTAACTTGTTTTTTATGTACACAACCTTATTTGGTCCTAAACTTTTTCCTTCCGAGTTGATTACTTTTAATTCAGTGTTTGATATAGGCTTTCCAGCAGAAGTATAATTTTGAGATCCAGCAGTGAGTGTTGTCACCAATGGCGATGTTTCTGTCAATCCGTAAACTTGAAGCATTTGTATATTCTGTTAACACACACATACATTTTTAGATAAAATATACTAGTAACTACAAATTATCAACTCGTTCAAATGTAATACACGGGTTTCAGACCCTTTATATATTAAACAAAAATTTGAGTTGTCTTAAAATTAATAAAAACAGCTACTTAAAACGGAATTTGCTTCGTCCCAAAGAAGTTATAATACCTATTTTTTTTCTCAATACAAAAAAATGTAATTCTGTTTTACCTGGGCTTTTTTGATAAGTTTTTCAATATCAGGCTTAGGTAATGGTGCTGCACCGCTTGTTAATCTTTTTACAGGTTCCAGGTGTTTTGATTTCACACCATCATGTGAGCCCAGAAAAAGAACTGAAATCGTGTGTAGGAAAATTTTATTCCATATAAAAATTAGTTTAGGTAAAAACTAATTAAAAATGTATTATGCCACATCTCAACTCACCTAATGGTGGCGCTGCACAAAGTAAGCTAATATTGAATTTCTCTAATGTAGCTATGAAAGTATTGGGATGAAATTTGGGTACTGTAACTACTTTGCAGCCAACACTTAATTTGTGGATCATAACTATACATAGCCCATAAATATGATAGAATGGAAGCACAGCCAATACGGAGTCTTGATTTTCAACTGTAAGAGGATCATTTTTTTAAATCTTCATCATCATTATCATCTGCCCTTTTACGTCCCCACTGCAGGGGCCTACCTTATGGATGGTTAAGGAGGATGGGCCATGACCCTCCACGCTGGCCCAATGCGGATTGGAGGGTATTAACGACTGCAAATGCAGCCGGGACCAACGGTTTAACGCCTTTCGAAGCACGGAGTAGCTCGAGATAATAAGGTCACTCATCCCGTGACCGACCCTTGCGAAAGTTGTTTAACGACAACGACCGCGGGCCGCGGCGCTTATCCACTACGCCACCGAGCTATATTTTTTTTGTATGATACAAACAATAGTTTTAAAGCAAAGATCATGGTCGTGTCGAATGCTGAAATTGTAAATTATTCATACTTGTAGTGTCGTCGAAATGTCGAGTTTCTTCGTCATCTTGTTGAATACAATTAGCAACTATATTCCTATTTGTAAGCTCTACACCTTTTGGTAATCCAGTGGTCCCGCTAGAATAAGGCAATAATACAACATCTTCAGAATTCATATTAACTTCTTTTAAAACTTCTAAGTTAACATGATTGTCTTCGATCAATTCTTGAAAAGATACTGTTCCAACAGGAAGGTTAGATTTCGTATCACAGCATATAATGGGAATATTTTTTTTAGCTAGTTTTAGTGCTTCTTTTAATACCGGTACTGTTTCAGGAATTCCAACTAATGCTTTAGGATTTGACAGTACTAGCTGTCTGTGGACTTCATCTGTAAAATTAATAATTTATATTGATAAAATATTATTAATGAAAAGTTTATCCGAAAATACACTTTTCATTGCACATTTAGTTGTTTTTATTTGATTCAAGCATGATAAAGAATACATTTTTTTACAACACACCAAGAAAAAAATACATAAATACAAATGAGAATATATTCAGATGAGACTTATTTTTATTCTTCACCATCACCATCCTATTAATGTAACTAATAAGAAGCTAAAATTTATTCCTTCTGTATTTAATATACTTACAGGGTGTATAAGTAGGATTGACCGTAGTCACTAAGGCTCCAGCTTCGATTATTCCGAAAATTACTGGTGCATATTCTGGTACATTATTCATCATCACACAAACTATATCACCATCAGTTATTTGAAATTTTGTTCGTAGTTGAGCACCAAATGTTTTAGATAACCTATAAAGTTGATGATATGTGATCGATCTATTAGTCAGACCGCAGACCTAAAAATCGTTTGTGCATTATTAAGATTCTAATTAACATATAAAATACCTCTGCTACTATTTTTTTGAAAAAATATTTTTATTTATTTTATTACTAATCATACGAAAGTGATACGTATCCATAGTTTTATCTTAATTTATATAAAAAATAAAGTCCCCTTGTCACGTCTCTCGGTCTGAATGACGATAAACTTGAGTGGTATTCATTTTTATCAACTATCCTATTAGCTAACGGGCACGAGTACATATGGCCCTTTTTAACACTATTTCTTAAGTGTATTCTAAAATGTAGTATATTATATTTTAGATACTGGAGACCATTGAATTTGAATATAAATTAAAATAGTAAAGTTGCTACCATTTATTTAATGACAGTATTTATGATTATAGTATTTTAAAATACTAGCTTTCCGCCAGCGGTTGCGCCTGCGTGGTTTCTATGGAACTATTCAGTGGGATAAAAAGTAATAAAATATATGATAATCTAGACTTGGAAATTAATTTGTTAATTCATTTGGATAAGGTATCTTATCATGACACGGATATAATTATAAAAAAAATGAATAGTAAAACAATAGTTACTCCCACTCCCAGACATATCCCTATATCTGCTGTTTTTCGGGTCGGATAAAATATAGCCTATGTCCACCGCATATAATGTAGCTACTCGTACATAAGTAAAAGATTTTTTAAAATTAGTGCAGTTGTTCCATAGTCTATTCGATGCAAAGAAAAAAACAATCAAATTTTTCCTCTCTATAATATTAGTATAGAAGTATAAACATGTATGCTTCTATGTTCTATCGTAATACCAAATGTCAAAATTAATCCATTTTATCCAACAAACTCTTGATACATTAAATGGCGTACTATCTTCATACACAGATACATTCACATATAATTTATTATCGATATATAGAGATTGAGCCAGTAACATTTACTTTATCACTGAAGGTCAACCCGTTTGAAGTCGACATTGGTTTTAATTTTATGTGTGTAGATATTAATATTCTTTTGCCAGTTCACACAAGTTTTCATGTTATACGCTTATAATGTGATTATAGTGGTAAATAACTAGGAGTGCTATTAATAAACAAGGTTTAGCATCAGAATAAATTTATATTAATATATAGTAAATTGATATTTTATCAATTTTATTATATTTATTCCCGTAGAACGTCGAACTAGGTTAACCTTTGCTAAGTCCCTGTTTAATAATATGATTTTAGACTAATACTAAGTGCAGTCTCAGCATAAATTTACTCCAACTTTTTTGGGGATAAAAGTTCACCTATGTCACAATCTAGATAAAAGAAAATCGTTTTAATCGTTTAATGACGTTCTAAATGGGTGGTCTGTTTCTTGTATCAATGAAGATTTTTTTTTTATTGGTTTATAAATAACCTTCAAAAAATAGTAATAGTAAGTGTTTTACTTTTTTTTTTACCCTGATTATAAAAAAAACTCTTAGAATAAAAGAATAAAAAAATACCCTGAATATACTACAATGGACGCCATATTGATTTTACTGGCGTGCCGGGTTCTAAATCTAAAAACATAAGTCTTACCATGGCTGTTTTATCAGGCCATCTTTCCAAGTTCTCCCAAATATGCTCGGTGAGTATCCTATTAGGTATATCGACTGGCTTGTAAGGCGACTGAACAATATTTTCTGGCGTCCACACGCTCTGCTTCAAGCACAGATTTAAGGAATAAGTTCTGGTAGCCAAAAGCTTTTTTAAGCTTCTACTTATTACTTTCCTTAAAGCCATTTTCACTGAAATAAATAAATTATAATTAGTGAATTGTTTAAATGAATTTATTTTTTCACTATATGTTTAATTACCTACTACTAAGAGTCATAAATCATTAATTGAATTATAATTTATAGTAATAGGTAAAGTAAGCATTAGCGTATTTGAATAACGACGATTTAAAATTATGTTTAAATAAATATATTTTTTTATTTGTCTATCTATGTATAAACGCTAAAGTTCTTGTAGATTATTATTTAGCACAGAGTGCAAAAAGTAACACATTTACAAAAATGTATGCAGTGTTCTCATAGCCTATAGCATACTAATTATTTAAATCTGTCGAAAACAATAGTTTAGTAAATACGTCTACAATTCACGGTAAAATCGGTGATTATACCAAAAAAATATATATACAGACTTTAAATTTCAAAACATATAAAACCTTTTCAAATTCAGAGTCTGTTAAATTTCAAAACATATAAAACCTTTTCAAATTCAGAGTCTGTTAAAGTAGAAAACGATAAAATAAATAAAAAAAGCATCTCTTTTTAAAAACTTAAATTACTATGTAAATCTATTATGAATAAATATTCAATATATTATTTTATTAAAAAAAAATAATAACTACACAGCGCAACTGAACACTTATTATGTCAATGTCAAGATTATTACATAAAGAACATCTGTAAAATGAGCACGCAAACAATAAAGCGGAAAAGTGTTTTGTATTATTTCTTTGTACTTTGTCCATTACCGTAATCGTCTTTTGACAGATCTCTCTAAAACATGAACTGTGGGCTAAAATATTATAATTTATATATTCATAAAATTTTCCGATAAGAAGGAAGATTCTATTGATTAAAATTATTATTTATCAGTGTTACAACTAACAGTTTCGAAAGTAATTTTAGTTTACGAAATAAGATTTTCAATTTTGTAGACATATAATCAATAAAGTTCTTACTGTAACGGTGTGTCGTAAATATTTATAATTTTTTATTTAATTTTATCATTGTAGTCTAAATTTAAATATACTTTATAATAGTATAAATTTATCTATAATAAACGTTACATATGTCATAATATATGTTTAAGGATTTAAGTATTTATTCACTCATGCTATTACAAAATGAATCGTAAATTATAATTAAACGTAAACAAAGCGGTTTCTGCTTATTATGTAATAAAATAAATATTCTTCCTACTGTCATACTTGACAAAAAGGAGATAAAAAGATTGTTATTATTTAATTTTAAGATAAGTACAAAGTAAGCTAATAAGGCTATGATACAATGTAAATGAACAAAGGAGTATAAAATATTAAAGTTTGAAAAAAGATAACATAAACTCTATACGTTTGTAAGCAGCAGCACGCATAGCATAATCAACTCGATAAAGTATTACATACACGCATCGGCCGCACGACACGTCACGGATTTATTAACAATAGCTGTGACGTCATCTGCATAATAGATTGTCTGTCAGGTGGATTATTGAAAAATATTAAACGCGTATTTAAAATTTTTTTCGTAATCAATAAATTACGGCGATGTGTTGAGTTGAAATTTCATATGACGTCACATCTTTGTACATTTTCTACAGAGTTGTGACGTAGCAAACCTCCACCCCTCGACTTGCACAGTATCTCACCAGTTTATTTTTCTGTTATCTGCCTGACAGACTAAATAGAATGTCTTTTTTCTAACCAGTCATCATCGCTATTCTGACGTCTAAACTGACAGTTGCATTTTACATAGAAGCATCTATAAATGAAACAACCAACAACTTAGTCCTATGTGAACACGGAGGTTCCGGGTCCGGTAAAGGGTCCGAAACGTCAATAAAATTGTAAACTAAATGCTATGAACCCCTCTAAAAGTTGTTTTATTTATAGAAGCATCTATGAAAAATAACTGCAGTGGACGCATGACATCCGCAAATCAGTGCAATGAGTTGCGGGTCGTGCGGCTTGTGCTAGCGTGCTGAGGCACTTTTTTGAGTGTTTATCTACGATATCTCACACCTCCGTATCTATAGTCGAGAGAAGTAATTACTTGAGCATATGTCACAACCTAAGCAAAATTTTTTATCAATTATACGATAGTTTACTTGTGACATTAACGTCCCTTCTGAAGCACAGAGGAGCTCCAGATAATACATTTTTGGTCACCCATCCTATGACCGGCCCTTGTGAAAGTTGCTTAACAGCCGTATAATAGACTGCGCTAACTACTGCGTCATCCAGTTCCTCATAGTAATAATATTAGAAGGATTCTTTACTACTTGTGCGACTGCTGCAATCTGGCGATACAATAATTGCATCTCAATAGAATCTCAACCACAACTATTTACATTTTGCCATTGTACTGTACCCGAAATCCAATATTATTATATGTCAGATGTGTGAGAAAGAAACTGGACTAATAACATTGGACAGATAGATTGTGCAATGATAAAATGCAAAGTGTCGAGATTATATTGACATGCGATTATTATGTAAACATTGGCATAATGAGGAAGTATTTAAAAAAAAACGAAACCCCTAAAACAGCACCTTCATTAGATGGCGACTCTGGTAAAAGTTTATTTTTGCAGGAAACGAATGGACCAAACAGAGTCATTTCCGTTGTTTTTAACTAACAATTTTAAAAAACTGAAATTTGAAAAGATCGAAACTTATACATCAATAAAAAAAGGAAAAAGTACAAATAGAATATGAGTCGTTTATTGAGTTTTGAAAACTAATTTACTTTTAAACATGAAAGAAAACCGGAATAGTTGTCATGGAGAAATCAAGCACGTACCGTGGCGACATCTAGTTTGATTTCGGGAACTAATGTTCTTTTTTTAAATACTTCCTCATTGTCCAGCTATTCTGTATTAATTGATGAAGTTGAGATAAAAGCATATTCGGGCGTATTTCACTCAAGTTCTTAGTATACGTGATATTTAATAAAAGATTAGTTTATTATTGTATGTTTATCCTAATTTATTTTAAACTAAACAATATAAAATATATTTATGTGATTGATGATTAATAACAAAAAAAAATCATTACATTTTTTTCTGTAAGTATGAAAAATACAATATTCTATTAGGGTGATCGATTTAAAGTTAATAAATTAGTGTATAGGTATATTGAAATCAATTTTATAAAATTAATCATAGTTTATGTAGATGCCAAGAAAGTTTAATTCCACTCAGCGAGGAGCAGTTGTTAAATAGGTAAGTTAGAAATAAAATAATACATTTGAATACCATACTAATATTTACTTATCACAGTTATTGTTTTTTATCTTGTCGATAAATCTTATCATTGTTTTTATCGCATTACATGCAAATGTTTTGAGTATGTGGTTTAATCAGACGATACGTACATTAATATTATATTATCTCACTACTATATTATCTTATCATTTAAAAGTTTTGCGTGCCTTTTTTTCTTAAAATATTAAACTATCCTAATTCGATTATTTGTGTTTTTTTTTTTTTTTTTTGTAACCTGAGCCCCAACAACAGGTTCTTAAGAGCTTACAGTTTTCGCTAATAGCTTTCTTATAGTTTCGAATTCTTATAATGATCTTGGCAAGGCTTAGCTTAGTAAGTTAATAAAACTTTATATCCATTCCAAATTTCTATATCATCGCTTATAATATTCTTCATAACACACTAAAATATTGTACCTTTTATAAGTAATTCTCTAAAATATATTTATTACCTATATCAATAAATAATTGAGAATGCATTTATCAAATAACAATACCCATTATTAGGCTTAATTACTATGAACCAACTATTATAATAAAATTGAACTTTAGTTTGGCTTGCAGTGTTTGTTTATTAAGAAACTATAACCTCTCGAGTGACGTGGATCTATCGAAAGTCATTTTACACACGGTTCTGCGCTCGGAGAAAACGCGTGCGGCAGCGCCGTGGCGTTTGGGAATACGCTTTTGTCAAGATTTTTGTATAAAACGTATATTTTTATTGATAATATTAAGAATCTAGATAAAATTTCTACATAATATCTACATAATCTACATAACGATTAATCACTGCAGTCCTGTTTTAGTTCTTAGACAATTAATTTAAGAAAAGTGAAAATTCTTTAAATTTTTATTTTATGTTAATATCTCATTCATATATATTATAATATCTCATTCGTTTTAATAAGTAAATAATAAAAATCTACAAAAAATCTCATCTGTTAGTCGTTTAACGGTTTCCGACGGCCCTAACGAGTTTCAATTATATTTCCAGCCCTTTCAATTATATGAAGTACCTAGGTCAAAAACTTATAATATCAAAAACGTGCATTAAATAAACTACTTGGTTTATTGGAAGAAAAAATAAATGAATTAAAATATTAATGTATTAAAAGTAATTTTCATTAATTTTCTTTATTGTTCAATAACAATACTTAAAAACACCCACCTTTATTTTATTATCAACAGGAAAAAGTTAAATAATTGTCAACTTATCAAAAAAAATATTTCAATAACGACCATCAATTTAATCATAGATACCCCTCGCCTACACTACAAACTTTTTTTAAATTTCACTATGGAAAATTTTTAACAAAATTTAAACTAACAGTTAGAATATTTCATCACAATTATTTTGAACCATAACACTATAGGTATTAGTTTCATAATTAAATTGATATAAGCTATCTAAGCGCAGCGCTCCCAATCGACCTTATTACGGCTGCGCGACACTTGTGGAGAAACGGTACAAAGCGTGTTATTATTCAGTTGTACGTAAAAGAAGCAGCAGAATATATTTTATTACTATCAGCAGTTACATAATCTATGAAGTAAACAATAAACACTTATAATACCTTTAAAATCCCCAATAACTATTCACTTGCTCACAAAACTTCAAATGTCACACGCACACTGCTGAAGCTAAAAACATACTGTCGACGTGTTGTACGACCAGTTCCATGTTTGTGTCTTATCATGGAATCGTTCGTAATCATCGTCGTGTATACGTAGAGCCAATATTATGACATCAATAAATGAAACTATAGTTAAATTATGTACTCTTTCTAAAATAATGTTCGCATATTTTGCCATTAATTAAGTATTCCTAATAAGTATTTTTTGGAACTGGTAATATACGTATATAGTAAAGAACTGTAAACATTGTGTTTTGTGTATTTTAAATTATTTTTATTTTACATTTTATCTTGTTTGTGTGTCTTTTGTTAGAATCTATTATTGTAATATATATTATCACGATAACAAATTTCACTTATCAATATTTCATTATTTTCAAATATATATCTGACGTTTTTTTTAACTTTAATATTTCAATTGGACTTATTATAATTCAATCAAATATTGCAATGAAAAAATATCATCCGAGATGATTTGTCAAACCGCTTTATAAGTTAAGCGTTGGGCATTTAGTGGTAGTGCCACGTTTTGGTGATTTATAATGATATATTTAAATTATGTAGAAAATGCTGATTTAGTCAAACTGTTCAATAACAATAATTTAATCTTGAGATTTTTAAACCTAATGTAAATAATAGAAGAAAATATGACCTTCGTATTTCATAACGAATAGGTATTATTGTATTCCCAAATCTCTATTGGTTCTTTAATAAGACTCTTCTATTTACTGACTGGGTATTGACATTGAATAAGGCCGTTATCAAATATAAGTAGTCTTTATTAAGATTTGGTAACATCCCAGTAGATGACCAGTCGTATTCGATTTAACGAGTTCAAAGAGGGAAAAGGTTTATTCTGTTTAAACAGATTTCAAAATCGGAAAAGAGAAAAGGGAAAGGAGAAGAATTTATTATTATTTATTTTGTTAAAGTAGTTTGAATTTTTTTATTTATTAACATTTTTTCGCAGGTATTCCATTTGTATTATTATTTACTTTTCATATTTTAAGAATAGATCAATGTTGTGTACATTATTGAAGACAGCTTTATTACAATGGAACACAAGGCCATCACATCGTATTCGAAACGAATAATTATTCAGAATTATTTCCGTCAGTATCCAAAATATAATTATACCATGAATTAAATTAAATACATACATAGATCATATGAATGTTCTGGAATAGGCCACTTACATAAACAATATTTAAAAAGTTACTACAACATTTAAAAATAACATAACTCTTTAGCTTTAGAATACCTACAACTTAGAGCTAATTCGGCTTCAGATTGAAGCGAAGAAGCACCATGCAAGACTATTATTTAAAAATGCGGTCGTGTCAATCTTCATGATGATATTTGTAAAGGTCGCCCGTGCACCGCGGTGAACGGCAAAAATAAACTGTGCGCCGTGTGAACCAAACAGACAGTCCAAAGATGACTGGACCTCACGGTAGGTATCATGAGGTCCAGACATCTTTGGACATCGACATGAGTCAAATACAGCCAATCCTATACAAACGTTTGAGTGTGAGAAAGCTGTATTCTCGATGGATCCCACACTATTTGAATGATGCTCAAATGAAGTCTTTTAGAACTGAACCGCATCACTTGCATCACTTGATGTCATATTATGCTTACTAGATACGAGCTATGATCCAAAAACAAAGCAGCAATCGAGGTTATGGTCGTTCCTTTTTTTTTAAATTGGTTCAATCGTACGAATAAGTGTATTGATGTAAAGGAAAAATATTTTGAGACACAATAAATTTATTTTTGACCGTTAATGGTATTATTTTATCATTGGTTCCGGAAGCTTTTAGCGCGTGCAAAGTAAAAGAGATTTTAATAAATAAATATAGTTCTCTTACGGTTCTCTGCCTTTTCGCCGTAAATTATTTGGCCGATTGTCACTTACCAACTAACGTTTTGCAGAATTTTATTTCGACAAGTAATCATTTGGCAACTTATCATATAATTTTGTTTCACTTCCTAACCTCATTGTAAGCAACTGTACGTTTTTATAATGACACTTTTCGAAATGCCCACTTTCATGTAGCATTTGATAACGAGAGAGTATATGTGCTCTTTATCTCATTTCTGACATACTCCATTAAAATATGTTGTACATTCTCTATTATTGCATGCGGAACATATGGGTGAGATAACTTTACTCATAAGGTATGTAAAACTATTAAGTGGAACGTGTCCCGAGCGAAGCCTCAAAGCTATGATCATGTTAGACCTGCTCATATTAGCTCGATCGACCCGAGGGAATTTATTTATATTGACTTGAATTATTCAGTGCCAGATAAATATTCAGTCCAATTTTCCTAATAGTATTAAAATTTTCAGGGGTATAATTTGCATCGAAAAAATATTTTGATCAGCACCATTTTCATTGAGTTGTTTATTGTTTATCAAATGTTGTATTCGTTAAGTCAATCATGGTTTTCAAAGTCAAACGCTTCTTGTCTATTGCTCGTCGGCACTCATAGTCTTCATGTGATCTTAACTAATCTAACTCTTTTCCTATAAAAAGTAATTCGTTTCTGAAACTTCGCTGCCCGCTGCCTGCCGCAGCACTCTTGCTTCGCTCGTCTTGGCTCGTGAGTTATACGTGACTTATACTTTATAACCTAAATCATGGATGAATAACAACTATACATATGTTTCCGTTGCTTTACAAAAAATGTGCAAAATTGAAAGACTGATTGGTATTTTTAGAGATTGATTAATAAAAAATGTATGTGAAAAATATTTTTTTAGCCATTATATCAATGAATAAAAAGGAAACGGATACACTGATATATATAATAACGTATGTTATTTGTCTAACAATTGTGTAGTCTTTGGATATGATTAATGATAACAAATTGCTGAAAATAATTAATGTCCCAAAAGTTTTTGTCATTATTATAATAATCAGTTTAACGATAAATTAATAATTTGGCAAGTAATAAACGCCCAAACAATTTTCGGCGAAAAGGCAGGATACCGTATCTCAAAAATTAATTTACACGACTCCCCAACAATAGGAATATATTGTTTAGGGTTACTGTTCTTTATTTCGCCATAACTTTTGAAATACTTAACGGATTTAAATACATGTCAAAAGAAAATTATAAATATAATTATTCCTAGGAAATTTATAAAATATATAAGCTAATGGACAAGTTTATAATCTATTCGTAAGAGTCTGAACGGTTCCACCAATCACAGAAGACCTTTTAATTTTACGTTTCTTTGAAATACGGCAAATAATACACTGCTCTCTGATTAGTCGATATCGACAGTGGCAATGCTTGTGTTCATATACTTAGGTACAATCAGCAGACTTAGAAAACTATTAGTGGTTAGAGAAGTCACCTGGATTGCAAGAGGTCTTTAGTTCGAATCCCATCTTATAGTAGAGTTATAGTAGAGTTTTTGAGCATTTTCATTAAGGATAAAATTGTATATTGAAAACTGATTTACTTGCGTTATATAATTATAATAAAGCAATCTTTGACTACGTATGCAATATAAAAATTCCAGCTAAATCCAACATCTTATACGAATATAATAATACTTAACAATGACTTCTAAATAAAAGGACCTTTTTATGGTAATTACTTGTGTTTATTATATTGACGTGCCTTAAATAAATAACACTAATGAGTTTATCATTCAAATTATCATTTTAAAAGGATGGAGGTTTATGAAAGTTGTAGCAAAAATAGCTTTCCTACTACTTAGTGTTTCCAACTAATTGCAGCAACTAATGCAGTCATAGTCAAGTAGCGATATAAACGAACCAAATTATATTTTTATTTATTTAGGAATTGTATCGTCTTTAATATATTAATACTGTCAGTTTTTAATGAAGATTCGTTCTTATATTTATCAATTAGATACCGCTATTAAATAAATCTGCTGCCAGGACAAATTTATTTTGGTTTAACGGCGACCGACATTAACAAAATTTAATAGGGCAATCTAATAAGCGAGGAGTATACTTGTATTTTATTACATTTTTCTAATGAAATAAGAATCATAATGTTATATGATTAGTTGATTTTTCAAGACGGTATATCTCATAATACCTAAGTTATTTTTATTATTGCCAAAACTGGACAAACGCCTTGAAGAATTTCAACAGCAATTGTACCATCATATATTGCTTTATCTTTTATCCCAGGACGGACAACCGCACAATTAATATTTTGTATACCTTCACTTATTCTCAAACAGTTGTACTAAATCATTTCTACATACTTATATCTTTTTTATTCAATTGCAAAAGAAGGATTATGTTTTTCGCGCGTATCTTGTATGTAAAATTTTTTGACACGCCCTATCAGTACAATTGGGTGTGATCTACAATTTAACGATGTTTGTTTTATTAGATTAAACCTCTTAAAAGGGTGTAAGGTGAATTATTGTTAATTTTATTATTTTTCCCAAAATAATTACGTTAATAATATCGGTCGGTAGTGTCGCTTGTGTACGTACAAAAATGTAGGTACTCACCGCAATTTTGACCGGACACAATCGGCAACTATGTGCGCCGATCTCGCGTCGAACTGCCACTTATAAAGTTGATGTCGGGAAAAATGCACATTTTTTTTTGTGCGCTAATTCGTTGTGAAGTATAAGATATAATTTGGGCCATGGCCATTCAGAAGCAGATCCTCGAGGATTTTAAGTCTAATTTCATCAAACAGCGCAGTTGTTGAAAATGGTAAATGTGAAGATTCCAATAATATTTACTTTATGTAAGACTCGCCACTTTTATTTTATTAATGTAATGGATTTTTAATGTTATTTTAGTTTGAGGTAGATTTTAATACTACTGCAGATTAGTTAATCAAAAATTATTTTAATTGAAACAAAAGATTGCAACCTGATTTTCCTGGAAACACAAGGTCCCGACGTCGTCCCAGTTTCTGTCCTTAGGCAACAGAGAAGAATTACAAAGTTTTTTTTGAATAGACATTGAAAAAAACGGTCTTTCGGCA